TATCAGAAGGAGAAGACGGCAGTGAACAGCAAGATACCTTATCTCAAACAACGAGAAAGTGAAGCTTCTCTGTTCTGAACTTTGCCTACACTCTCACAAGCAAATACTTGTGGATACACTCACATGCAAATTCATGTGGACAATCACATACCCAACTGTGTGTGGACAAACATACACAAATGCACAGATACACACATAGACAAGGAGAGAGAGGGTAGGGATCTTTAAAAAAAGTGTAGCTAAGGGACATTAAGCCCTTACCTTCTCTGAGGACAATGTGAAGGGCATCCAGGTGCCTGAAATGTTGCGATGTGTGTCCATGCTCAGATGACATCTTACTATTTTTGGTGTGATAAATACCATGACCAAAAGCAATTTTGAGAGGGAAGGTTTCATTTCATATTATAACTCTCAAGTTACACTCCATCACTGAGGGATGTCAGGGCAGGAACTCAAGGTAGGAACCTGGAGATAGAAACTGATACAGGAGTCAGAGTATGCAGCTCACTAGCTTGCTCATTCAGGATTATTCAGCCTCCTCTTTCCCACACAACAGGCCCACTTCTCCAGGGATGCTATTGCCAACAGTGAGCTGGGCCCTCCAACATCAACCATTAATCTAGAAAATAATCTACAGGCAATCTGATGGGGGCATTTTCTCTCTGTGTCTGTCTCTGTCTCTCTCTTTCTCTCTCTCCCTCTGTGTGTGTGTGTGTGTTCTCTCTGTCTTTCTGTCTGTTTGTATGGGTCTCTGTTTCTCTCTCTCTCTCTCTCTCTCTCTCTCTCTCTCTCATCTAAGCTGTAGCAGCTAAAACAAGATAACTAGTAAGATGAATACAATCTAAATGAAATACCACCAGAACATTGCTACACATATTACAGCTACAATGAGGACATATCAGCCGCACGTCCAGAAATCTAGAGAGCTTAGTGATGATAGGTAACAGGATTAATAAAGCTCCCATGTCTAGAACTCTGGAAAACCTAAATCAGTCAGCCAGTGGAGCCACTATTACTATCATTTTCTGGATCTTTGGCTTGCTACCTCACCCTCCCTCTCTGTAATATCATTTTGACTAGCTCCTTTTCTATTCTCCTCTCCTCTTCTGTCTTCATTCTCTGCCATCTTTCTCTTCATTATCTCCCTTTCTCCCTAGTTTTTTCTCTTCCTCCTCCTCTTCTTTCTCTTCTCCTCATCCCTCTACTCAATCTATCCTTTCCTACCCCCAAGCACTTCCATCTCTTACTCTCTCCTCTTTTTCTTTGTCAATCTATTTCTTCACATTTACCTTCTCTTCTCCTCCTACTATCCATATTTTTCTATCTCAAATTTTTCCATGATTGCTAAATGACCAATGCCCATTCATTTATATGAATGAGAAAATTAGAAATAGTAGAATTACCACAATAAAACATCAGAATTTATAAACAGAAGCCATTTATTTTTGGTCAAAACAGAATAACTGCTTACATTTTATTCACAATTTAGTTAAGAACATATAATTTTATTTGTTTGTTTGTTTTTGTTAGTAAGAATTATTTTAAGCAAAAGATGATACCATATTCCAGGTAATTAATAAAGTGTATATCTATCTAATACTATTACATTAATTTTATTCACCTGTTGCAAATAATTATAAAAGGAGATTGGTTTGGGATCTGGTGACATATACTTATATAAAAAGAACAATATATATATATGTATATATATATATGAGTGGAAAGAACAGATGCAACAACAAATCTCTTAACTCCTGAGGTCATCTTCCATCTACCTTGACCTGACCCCCAAGTTATAATGCAAGGAACTTGGTTTTATCTCCCAGATACCACCTTTAGCAAGACAGCCAGATACCTTCAGTCTAAATGTATGTACAAAATGAATGTATTTTATAGGTTAGTAATACTAGTATTTTATTAGAGAAACCTCATGTAAAAATGAATTAGCTAATTCTGCATGTGTGTTGAACATTTTGGTTTCATGACTTGAAGCTTTACTCATTTACAGGAATTAATTGTCATTTGTGCCAGAAAGATTTCTAGGTTCTGAGAATGTCCCAATGAGCAACTTTGACATGGTTTTTGTTCTCCCTATTAGTCTTCCCTTCTTTTCTTTCTTTCTGAAACTGGATGTCCCCCTTTAGCACAGGATAGCCTAGGAGTAACTGTGTATCTCAGGATGATGTTGAACTTGAGATCTTCTATCCTTAGCTTCCTCAGTACTCTGATTACAGGCATGCACAGAGCTTTCTTCCTCTCTTAAAATATCCAGCAAGGCAGAAACAGAGGGATGCAGGAGCACTCCAGAGTATGAACCCATATTTATTATTTTTGAGAGTAAACTGCTTTTATTACACATATTCTATTTCTTTGGGTATTTTTATCGAAGTTTTAAAGGTTCTTTATTCTTATTTACACAGTTTTAGGCAATGTTGACTTCTGATTATGGTAGATGAAGAAGGAATTATTTTACATCCTTTACAGTTCATTCATTTATCCATCTAAAACATTATATTTATTCATTCATGCATTCATTTACTTTTATTGAAAATAGTATTTTCCCACACAACAGATTCTGATGATAGTTTTTCCTCCCCCAACTCCTCCTAGATTGTCTCCAACTTTCAACTTACCCAGATCTAGACCCTTTGTTTCTCTCACTCATTAGAAAGCTAACAATCATCTAAAATCCAAAATACCATAAAATGAAGAACCAGATTAGGAAAAACAGATAAACAAAAGAGCCAAAGAAAAAGCACAAGAAATGCAGACATTTGCATACACAGAAATCCCATAAATACACAAAATTGCAAAACATGATATATGAGCAAAAGAACTGTACGGTTGAAAAAGCTACAGATAAATTGTTAAATTATATGGTGACAATAACAACAACAAATGTACCCTTAAAATATGTACCATTTTCATTTTGCCTTGGCCGTCTACTGCTGAGCATGAGGCCTGACTTAAGTGTGGTTTGCATACCCATTGAAACTCCATTGGAGAAAACAAACTTTTCAGGCAGTTGTCAATTGGACATAGCTTCTGGGTTAGAGATTGGGGCTTATGTCCACTTCCCTGTTAGAACTGGGACCCCATCCGGCTTAGACCTACACACACAGTGTTTGCTACCAATGTCCCTGTGAGTTCATATGTGTGTCAGTCCTGTTGTGTTTAAAGGCCTTGTTTCCTTAATGCCTTCCCTCCTCTCAAGCTCTTAAAATCATTCTGCCCTTTCTTATGCAGGGTTCCCTGATCTCTGACTGGGAGGACTAGATGAAGAAATCCAATTTAGGACCTGGGGTTCCCAGGTCTTTCACTCTAAGTACATTGTCTAATTGTGGATCTCTGTATGTGTCCCCATCTACAGCAGGAGGAAGTTTCTCTGATGATGGCTGAATGAGGCACTGGCCTATGGATGCAGCAGAAGGTCATTAGTAGTCATTTTACTGGTACATTCCTTCAGCAGAATGATAGTATTTGGTTTTCTCCTCAGCCCAGGGTTATCTAGTCTTAGGTTCTTGACGACCAGAGCAATGTCCACCATGGGTTCCATCTCATAGAATGGGTCTTACATCCAATTAGATAGTGGTTGGTTACCCACACAAGAACTGTGGCACTATTTTACAGTGTATCTTGTAGGCAGGTCACCATTGTAGACTGAAAGGTTTGTAGCTAGGTTAGGGTTTAACTTTCTCCTTTGGTAGCATGCAGAGTACCTTGCAGTACCATAAACACTAGTCACTAGGGATGAAGGCTCTATGTAGGCACCTGATCAACTTCTCCATGTACAATGAGTTGTGTAGGTGTGTTTACCAGCAATAGAGCTTTGCCATCAGTTTGTCAAGGGCAACGAATATCTTTGGCAATTGTCTGGGTTGTTTGGGATCTTCAGGGGGTCCCTTGGACAAGAACTTTTTATGTAACCTATTCCTGGCACTGAAGGTCTCATTTGGTGGTGAGAGATGTCTATTTTAGGCTTTGTCTCTCATGTTATTTGTTGATTCCATTTAAAATTATCATATATGTATATATTTTAAGAAGCTTCTATTAAAGTTTCCATATAAAGCTCCAAACCAAAGGCCCTTAGTTTTCTCCCTACCCCCACTCCATCTTCCCTCCCTTACCTCCTCCTCCTTTACCTACTCTGTTAACTTTCATGATTCATTGGGCCCCACTCCTATCTATCTATACTATTCTATTTACCCTTTCTTAGGAGATTCTTGCCTCCACCTGAATCCCTTACTCTAAACCTAATCTCTGTGGTTATATGAATTGTAGTCTGCTTATCAAAGATTTGACAGCTAAGATGCAAATATAAGTGAATATATGCCCATATTTGTAAAAATATGGGACCTGGGTTATCTCACTCAAGATGATTTTATCTAGGTCTATTTATTTACCTATAAATTTTGTGATTTCATTATGTGATTAATAATATTGCACTGTGTAAATGTACCATTTTTAAATCTATTCATATGTTGACAGACATATAGACTGTTTCCAATTTCAGGCTATTGTGAATATAGCATATTCATACATACTCATACAGCAGTTAAAAATATTGATGGACCAGTGTCTGTAGTAGGATGTAGAGTACTTCAGGTATTGTCCAAGAGAGCTGTAGATTGATTTTGATGTAATAATAATTCTCAAAATCCACTTATTTCCATAGCTGCTGCACAGGTTTGCACTCCCACCACCAATCTCATTCTTACATCCTTGACAGTGTGAGCTGTCACTTGTTCTATTGGTTTTGGCCATTGATTGGTATAAGATGAAATCTCAAAGAAATTTTGATTTACCTTTACCTGATCACTAAAGACATTGAATATTTATTTGTTTCTCATCCATTTGTGTTTCGTTTTTGAGAACTATCTGTTTGGATAAATATCCATTTTTAATTGCATTTTTAGTTATTTGTTTTAGTTCTTTATGTATTTTAGATATTAGCCCTCTATTGAATGTGTAGTTGATAAAATTCTTTTCCCAATCTGTAGGCTGACACCTTGTCTGATTAAGGGTGCCTTTTACCATACAGAAGCTTTTCGTTTTAATGAGGTAAGACTTACCAATTGTTAATCTTAGTGCCTGCGCCAATGGTGTTCTCTTCAGAAGTCTTTTCCAGTGTTGATGAGTTCAGAACTATTCCTTACTTTCACTTCTATCAGTGCCTCTGGCCTTATATTAAGGTCCTTGAACCATTTAGTTTTGAATTTTATGCAGGATGATAAGTACAAATATATTTACATTCATCACCATTTGTAGAAGATGTGGTATTTTTCCCAGCATGTATTTCTGGCTTCTTTATCAAAGATCATATGTCTATAAAACTGTGTATTGATGTCTAAGTTTTCAATTTTGTTTCACTGACCCATGTATATGTTTTTTTTCGTCAGTACCATGCTGCTTTTATGACTATAACTCTGTAGTACAATTTGAGATGCAAGGGAGTGATCCTCCAGAAGTTCTGTTATTATTCAGGATTGTTTTAGCCATCCTGTTTTCTTTTGTGTTTTTATGTGAAGTTTAAAAATTGTCCTCTCAATCTCTGTGAAAAATTGTGTTGACATTTTGATAGAGATTGCATTGTAGATTTACTTTTGTAGGATGGATACTTCTTTATATTAATCTTACTAATCCATGAGGGTAGGAGATCTTTTCACCTTCTTATATATTCTTCAATTTCTTCAGTAACTTAAAGATTTTCATATTATTAGTTTATTGTTTATTATGATGTTTTTCACATGCTTGATGAGAGCTAGCCACAGATATTCTGAGGCTATGGTGAAAGTTCCTATTTCCCTGATTCCTTTCTCAGTACATTTGTCATCTGTGTATAGGAAGACCACTGATTTTTGTGTGTTCATTTTTAAATCCTGCTGCTTTGCTGAAACTGTTCATCATCTTTATGATGGTATCCTGGTGGAATATTTAGGATTGTTTATGAATACAATAAAGTCATCTACAAATAAAATATTTTGATTACCTCATTTTCTACTTATATCCCATTGATCTTTTCCATCTGTCTTATTGTTCTAGCTAAGTGTTCAAGTACTATATTAAATAGGTGTATAAAGAATGGACAACCTGTATTATTCCTAATTTTAATTGAAATTCATTGAATACATTTGGGTTGATGATGCCTGTGGGTTTACTATAAATTGCATTTATTATATTGAGATATGTCCCTTGTGGCCTTAGTGTCTCCTGGACTTTAATTATAAAGAGGTGTTGGCTTTTGTCAAAGGCTTTTTCTACATATAATGAGATGATTATGTGGTTTTTATCTTTTAAGCTGTTTGTATGAAGGATTATATTTGTCAATTTACATAGGATGAATCAACTCAGCATCTTTAGGATGTTTCCTACTGGGCCATGGTAGATTATCTTTTTGATGGGTTCTTGGATTCAGATTACAAGCATTTTGCTGAGAAGTTTTATATTTTTGTTCATAAGAGAAATTTACTTGTTATTCTTTTCTCTGTTTACTTTTTATGTTTTAGTTATAAATGTAAGTATGACCTCATAAAAATAATTAGGTAATATTCTTCTGTTCCTATTTTGTGAAATAATTTAAGGAGTATTGGCATTAATTTTTCTTTGAAAATATGACAGAATTCTGCACTTAATCTCTCTTATTCTGGATGGGATTTTTCTTTGCTTGTTTGTTTATCTTGGACATGAAATTTTAATTATTACTTCTACTTCACTGAGTATTATATGCTTAAATTGCTTATATTTAAGTTGTTTAATTTGCTTAGCTGATCTTTATTTAATTTTTTGTTTAAATTAGAAACAAGCTTGCTTCACATGTCAATCCCAGTTCCCTCCCTCTCCTCCTTGATTTAGCTTTCTTATATGGTATATATCAAGAAAATTTTCCAGTTAATTAGGTTTTTCCATTTAGTCAAGTACAAATTTTTAAGGCATGTCCAATGATTATCTGAATTTCCTTGGTTTCTGTTGTGACGTCCCCCATTTTCCATCTCGAATTTTACTAACTTGGCTTTTATCTCTTTGTCTTTTCATTAATTTGGCTAAGGGTCTATTAATCTTATTGATAAACCAACTCATTTTTTATTGATTATTTGTACTACTTGTTTGTTTCTATTTTATTGAGTTCAGCCCTGAGTTGATTATTTCTTGATATTAATGCCTCTGAAGCTTATTTCTTCTTTTTACTCTAAAACTTTAAATCATGCCATTAAGTTACTAATATAAGATCAATCCACTATTTTTAGTGTTGTCATTTGGTGCTATAAATGCTTAGAACTGTTTTCATTTTTCCTCATAGGTTTCTGTATGTTGTAAATTAATTTTCATTCAATTCTAAAAAGTTGGTAATTTCTTTATTTTGTCTTTACCCATTTTTAATTCAGTTTAAAGTTGTTCAGTTTCCATGAGTTTGTAAGATTTCTGTTGGTTCTATTGTTGTTTATATCCAACTTAAATCCCTGGTAGACAGATGGGATGAATGCTGTCATTTCAATTTTTTTCTTGTCTCTGTTGAGACTGACTTTGTGTCTAAGCATATGGTCAGTTTTGGAGAAAGAGAACTTTACTTTTTGGGGAGGTAAAATGGCCTGTAAATATCTGTTAGGTCCATTTGGTTTATGATGTCATATAGTTCCAGAGTTTCTTTGTTTAGCTTTTGTCTGGATTACCTGTCTATTGGCAAATGGTGGGTATTGAGGTCACCTATTACCAGTATGTGATAATCAATATGTGATGTGAGCTGTAGTACTACTGGTTTTTTTGTGAACTGGTTTTTTTGGGAGTCTATGTGGGTAGTAATGGCACAAAATTAAGCAATATGGAAATATTTTCATGATGATGCACAGAAAACATCTCAATGAAATAACATGGCCTAAAATAATTTTCCTGGCAGACAAACATCATCATGTGATTTTTTTTAGACATGGAACATTCACATTTAAAAAGAAATAACCATCTTCTTTAAAGAATTCCCAGCATCTAAGTTCATGCCATTTGTTCAGAAATTCTTTCAAAAAACATCAAACCCGTTTCAGGGGTAGGAGGAGTAATTCAATGGCCAAGATAGTTTAGTGCCCAACCATGAGGACTGCAGCTCTGCTCCCTGCACCCAGCTAGCAAGTCTGGCAACCCACACATGCCTGTAGCACCAGCTCAGTGGGGCAGATACAGAAAGATCACTGTAAAGTTCTGACTACTGACCTAGTCAAGAAAACCCAAAGATCCAGTTTCAGGAAGACCCGGCCTTAAAGGAGTAGGTGAAGAGTATTCAGGTACACCTGACACTCTCATACAATCGATGACCACACAATTACACAAACACACATATGGGCATACACTCACACACAAAGACATATAAGCATACAAATAATTATATCTTTTTTTAAAAATAGTCAAACACATTTCTGTTTCTAAATCTTGTTTTACTATTTCCCACTGTGGTAGTTTGAATGAAAATGTTCCCCATAGACTCTTAAGTTTAAACACTTAGTTCTCATTATTGGAATTGTTTGGGAAGGATTATTAAGTATGGTCTTGTTAGAACAAGTTAGTCACTGGGGGCAGTCTTGGATGTTTCAAAAGGTTGCACCCATCCCCAGTCTGCTCTCTATCTGCTGCTTGAGGATGAAGATGTATGATCCTACCTGCTGGTCTCGCCATCTCTTTTCATGCCTCCTCTCTGCCATCAGAGGCAGAGGTACTGTAAGCTCTTTCTTTAATAAGTTGCCTTGGTCATGGTGTTATGTCACAGCAATAGAAACGTAACTAAGAGACCCACCACTGCAATCAAAAGTCCTTCATGTGTTGCCACAGTATTGTTTATTGGCATTTCAACCCCTTTAGTAAACTCAGCTGTTTTATTTTTAAATCTTCACAGCTCAGTTGTGTGTGACTTAAATACAGCCTGGTCCTTAGGAAATCATAAACACAAGGGACTCTGAAGTGAAGTGCTCAAACCCAGAATGCTAAGAGTCAACAAACAGCTGAGTGGAGAGAAAGTAGCTTAGCAATGAAAGAAAACAAACCATTATCTTAGGGCCTTATTCCATTTCTGAAAGCTGATATTATTCAAATCACAGCTGTTTCTTATTTTGTCTAAAAATGGTCATTCCCAGTAGAGAAAATAAGAATGTTTCAACCTTGTATAGAGGAAGAGACATTTGTGCCAGCCATATCTTTCTCTGCTGGGGGAGATTCCAGGTGCATGATTCATTAAGCTAACACTAAGGTGCAGCTGTAAACACACCAAAGCAAGCCATGCCTGGGGCCCAAGGCCCTCTCAGATTGTTTCCAAGGAGCAGAAATTTCTCCTTCCAATGGAGGTAGCAGATCTCCAGTTACTGCTTCCACCCTAGAGGTACTTGAGTTGAAACTGTGATGGTTCTTGAGAGAAATAGAAGTAGATTTGCCTGCCAAGCAATGCTGGTTTCCCTCACCCCACCAATGGTTGATACACACACAGGAAGATTCCAAAGCATCACTCCACACTTCACAGGGAAAAAAAGCAGCTTTTCTGCAGTGACTGGAAACTCAAAATGGCCTGCCATGTGCCATCGCCTTTGGACTACCTTTCCAGGCTTGCCAGCTTGCATCTCTCCACCGGAAGCCATTCTCACCTGTCCCTACCCCTGTATCAAACAAGCATTATCATGTGTGCTGTTTTCTCCCCACACAGAAAAAAATTAAACTCCCGAATGAACATACCTAAAACAAAGTTGTTAATGTGGAAAGTGCCTACTCGTGTGAAGACTTACACTGAGGGTAGAGTTAAGTATTCAAGTGAAGCCACTCCTTGTTTCTGATGGGGCAGGACACCTCAGTATGGCCAGATACTTCACAATATCAAAGTTTTCTTAGGAGAGTACTAAATTGGGCAGGTGAAATGGCTCCTGGGTAAAGGAGCTTGTCAACAATCCTGTCAACTTAAGTTCAATCTGCATAATACTATAAAAGGAAAGAAAATGACTCCTGAAAGTTGTCCTCTGAATGCCATATGTACTTGATCACACACACACACACACACACAAACACACACACATACACACACATATACACACACACAT